AAGATAAGGTTACTAGTAATCAATCTAAGTTTCCGGATTTAAGAGTAGTTGACGACTATGTATATTATAGGACGGAACACTATTCAGGTTCAGAGGAACAGCAGCAACAAGCGTGGAAATTGTGGATTCCAGATCGTCTCAGAAAGGACGTAGTCTCAAGGGCTCATGATTCCCCAGTTTCTGTCCATGGGGGAATGAGCAAAACCCTTAATTTGGTAAAACGATATTTTTATTGGCCAGGTATGGTTAAAGATGTAAGGGACTATGTGGGAAATTGTGAGATTTGCAAAACCACTAAATCCCCTAATATGATTATGAAACCCCCAATGGTACACCAAATAGTCTCCACACGTCCATTTCAACGTCTATATATAGACCTACTAGGACCATATCCAAGGAGTAAATCAGGGTATATAGGGTTATTGATAATTCTGGACCATCTCACCAAATTCCACTGGATATGTCCCTTGCGTAAATTTACATCCTCAGCTGTTCAAGAATTCCTGCAATCGGATATTTTCCACACCTATGGAGTCCCAGAGACCATAGTTAGTGACAATGGCAGTCAGTTCAAGGCAAATGAATTGAATGCCTTCTTCACTAGCTATGGTAGTAATCACATCTACACGGCTCTATATTCACCTCAGGCCAACGCCTCCGAAAGAGTAAACCGGTCACTCATTGCGGGTATAAGGACATTTCTCAAAAACGATCAAAAGGAATGGGATCGAAATTTAAGTTATATTAGTTGCGCTTTGCGTAACTCCATACATCAATCCATTCATTGTACCCCTTACCATGCCTTGTTCGGTTTTGACATGGCTACCCATGGCTCAACTTATTCCTTGCTTCGAAACCTCAGATTGTTAAATGAACCCACCACATCTTTATGTCGTGATGATCAATTGCAGTTGTTAAGGATTAATCTTCAAAAGAGGATTAAAGAGGCATTTAAAATTAACCAAGCACAATACAATTTACGCACCAGACAGCAAACGTTCAATGTAGGGCAACATGTCTACAGGAGGAATTTTAGTCAGAGTAGCCTTGAAAAGAATTATAATGCCAAATTGGCCCCACTTTTTGTTAAAGCAATAATCCGGGAGAAGCTTGGAAGCCACTATTATCTTTTGGAAGACATGAAGGGCAAAGTGGTCGGTACCTTCCATGCCAAAGACATCAAATGTTAAAGGCCTTTTCCTGTTTATTTTCTGCGAATGTCTTGTAAATAACCCGGTTTGTAATGTCGCCTTTTGAGTTAAAAAAAAAAATATTACATGCTGAATACTTCGGTACTTCAGTGTATAGGCTATCAAAGTTACATTTTTTTATTACAGCAGTTGTAAGTCAGTCATAACATTGCAATGTTAACAGTATCAATATGTACATCAATTATAACATTTCAATGTCACATTCTTATTACATAAACCTGTTACTGATCATGCTTTTATGAGACTTTACAGACAAACAAACAAACATTAGCCTCTCAATTGCAGATCAAGTCTTTGTTGCTGTTCAACGTTTGCCCATTGCCTTTGCGTTTCTTTTGCTTTATTTTTGATCTTACATAAATTCTTTTTCAAACATCAGTTGTTGGCCGTGCTTTTATCAATTAGGCGAAACTGGATTTTTGTGCAGCATTACAATTGAAAACAATTCTTTTAGCAACTCAGTCTGGAAAACATGAATATTGGGATGGTTAAAAAAGAAAGGTCTGTGATATATACTCAAGTGAAATAAAATAGTTCATTTCCATACAGTCACATATGTGTTTTGTATACCGGTAATAAATTTCGTCCCTATGCTATAAAAATAGTACGCTCGATAAAAGAATTATTATAGTGTTAATCGATAGTGCTCTACATAGCGTCACCAGTTTTTTCTGGTATTCTGCATCTTTAACTTCCTTTTCATTTTTGGATTTCAAAGAGAAAACTACGTTCCTTTGGCAAGTTTCAAATTTAGTGACAAGGGTAAAACACCCTTGCAAAATATCCAGTTTTATCAAGCCGATCGAAAATTATATTTTGGCATTCGTAGCATAAATCGTTTTGATATCTGTTTAATATATACCCTCGGCTGTAATTTTTATTAAAAGGTAATTCCGTCATTAAAAAAATATGATTTTTTTTTCATTATGCTGATACATAAATTTTCTACTAGCGTTCACCAAACCTTATTTTTGGATCACGTGATTTTTTTATTAGAATCAAACGGCTATTTAATAAAGAAAGGAATTCCTAAAGTGACGAAAAAGGGAGTTCTGGTCTACCCAAGATGTGGCTACCCACAGGGCAGTGACGGCCTGGGAATCCCGTTTTTTCCAAAGAACACTAAAGCGCAAATCACCATGGAAATCGATATGTAACCCCAAATCGAAGAAACTGCTGCCTATATGTTCGAAATTCCCATTAAATGTATTTTCTCAAAGAGCATTTGCCCATAACAGATGAAACTAAAGCAAAAGTCAATAAACGAAGGCAGTTTTCCAAACGAAGAGCCTGACCACCATTCCTGCTATTTCATCACTCTCGAAGAACCGAGAAACTGTACGCTATGAAGGGCAAATTACTATTGAAGCTGAATTAAAACTTGATTTACCATGTGCATTGCAGCTACCTTATAAAATAAGCATAAACTAAAAAAAAAAAAACAAAACAAACAAAAGGAATTAACGTAACTATTAATGTGGCATAATAATTAAGAAATCTTTATCCAACATCAATAATCTAAAAAAATGTATTTCGCGTGCTTTCTTATTGCGACCGCCATTTTTGCGGTATAAAGATTAAATCAATGCAATAATTTTCATCCCACCCTAAAGTACGTCAAAAAAAAAAAAAAGAAATTCCAGCAACAACATCAACGACAACGTGGAGGCCTTCATGCTGATCATCGAATTTGTTGGTGAGTTTTATGCTATCCATTTAACATACGTGAGTACATGAAAAATAGAAATTATAAAAAAACTATTTATTTATTATCCAATCAATTGCATTGATTTGCTTGGCTTTGAATTTTGTAGTGAGTGAAAGCAGGCAAGGTAATCATCATTATTCACTAGTAATGAAGATCATCTTGCTCTCTTTAATTGTTGGGAATCTTATAATAAGATAAAACAGGAAAGATAATTATCATTATCAATATATGATTATGATCTTGCTCTGTCTGTTTTGTGCGTTCTCCAACATTATGCTTAACCATTCACGATAGGAATTAAATAATTCAGACTTTTTGTTTGTTTTGCTATAGCGAAGCAATACACATTATTACATATTTACACATTTGGTTCTTCTTTATGCACAATAGGTTGTGCGTTTGAATACAGACACTTTTGTTATGTTTTTTTAGTTAACCAATAGTAAAACTTTTATTAGGTTTATTATTCCTCGGATAGATTAATTCCATATATAAGCTATTGTCAATGAATTTTATATATATTTCTAATATTTTCTATAATGATCATTAAAATTAATGCCTTGAATAAATTTGTAAGTACAATTACTATGATGAACTAAATTATTTAAAGATGTTTTCATCTCAGATGATGGGGTCATAAAAAGAAAGGAGTTAGCTAAACTTGGGGGTTCTTTGTAAAGAATTTTGGTGCCATGAAGAACGACGGTAGGTGTGGGTTGCGAGGCACTTTCTTCCAACAACATCTGGAAGTGTTTTAATTTAGAACTATGTGAAAATATCCCCGAATTCATTATATTCTTAATCCGTTTTACTTTTTCAGCAGCCTGATCACAATCTAATTTTATAAAATTTTTATGTATTTCAACAAAAAAAAAGGGAGTCTGAAACAAAATTAATTCATGTAATGACAACAAGGTTTAGAGAGGATAGGACCTGAACCCCCCACCCGGCTAGTGCTAGCAAAAGAAGGCTCCCGCAGTCCTTCGCCACTCTAAATTCTATGGTGCACAAACAGAGACATTTTTCTCAAATATAGCATCGCGATTTGGTCGTGAACATTACAGCTCCCAGATAACTGTAACGGTGTATTTAAGGTATTTTCGGTGCTTTAATAAAAGTTTTAAACCGAACTTGCTGATAATGCCCCCATAAAACCTTACCGGGAAATTTAAGATATTTCAGATACAATTTTAACAAGATTTGCTGTAAACCAGAAGCTTGTATTCCCAGAACGTCCACATCTTCGCAATAGGTTCTACCTCCACTAATAAAATAAAAAATCCCATACAAATCTACGTCTTGCAATGTGTACTACCTCCAAAAAAAGTTCTATAAAAGTCCACGCTTTTACAATGGGTACGACCTGCACTAACAAAAAAAAGTCCTATACAAATCCACGTCTTGCAATGGGTACTATCTCAAGTCCACGCTTTCACAATGGGAACGACCTGCACTAACAAAAAAAAGTCCTATACAAATCCACGTCTTGCAATGGGTACTATCTCAAAAAAAAGTTCTATAAAAGTCCACGCTTTCACAATGGGTACGACCTGCACTAACAAAAAAAGTCCTATACAAATCCACGTCTTCAAAATGGGTACTACCTGCACTGACAAAAAAGTCCTATGCAAGTCCACGTCTTCACAATGGGTACTACCTCCAATGACAGTAAAGTCCCATACAATTCCACGTCTTGGCAATGGGTACTACCCTCCTTTAAAAAAAAAAGGTTCAGGCAAGTCCACGTCTTCGCAATAGTTACTACCTCCACTGACAAAAGAAAACTCCCACACAAGTCCACGTCTTCGTAACGGGTACTACATACACTGAGTATTACATCCATATAACGGAACCTCCTTGTAATCGATATTTTAATGATTGTAGCGACATTGTTTAAGGAATTATTTCAAATTTGGTATTTAGTTTCGACATTAGCTACTATCTTCTCTAATCTATATGGCCTCACATTTCCATATAGCCCCCCATTGAACTGAACCTAACGATATTCGGTATTTTGATGTAACTTTGAAATTTGCTATTTGAACTTCGAACCACTTTTGGGAACCACTTTTTGTACTCACCCATAATATTAGTTTGCCATTTCGCTGAGGTGCACATCAAATAGATACCATAAAACGAGGCACCATACACATAGACAAAACCGATGACATTGATCCATACTATTTCCAATTTACGTTCTTCGGCCTTTTTGCATTTTTCAATATTTTTGGCCAAACCGCCATCAATGGTTTCAGCCTCCTGTTCGGACAAAACTCCGGTTGCAGTATTTTCGAACACATTAATTATGGGTTCATTTTCGTTTACAGTGGTTGTGGCGTTTGGTGGCATTTTGCTGGAATAAAATGAAAACAAGAAGAATCTATAATTAATAAAATTGTTTATAACATATATTTAATTACACAATTAATTATCTATTTTAATTCGAATGCATTTATTGATGTAAAATGCATTTCTGTTTTGCTACAGCTATTTATAATGAAATTACGCCTTTACCGCCATTTTCTTAAAGCATACTTTCAGGCGCATTGAAATACAACTCAGACGCATCAAATAAAACCAAAATTAACACAGTCTATATCAAATAAAATACGGTGCGCAAGAACACGAATAGTTATTCAAGAAGTGTTGCGAGTGTTTCTAGAATTTTGAGGAGTTATAGATCTTGGAGAAATAATTCACTATACCTTTAGCTAGGTCCTTGAAAAATGTGTAAAATATAAAAATATACGTGATTTCAATTTATGTCTTGTAAAAACTAATATATATTGAGCTCTAGTTGTATTGTTATCATGTTGGCACCCACTTCATAGACTTATGAGGACATAGACTGCCACGTAAGTTGTTCTCATATTAGGGAAACTTGCTATCATAGAAGAGAACACCTTGACACTCCAATATATAATAAAAAAAAAAAACAGTAAGGAAAAGTCAAAAGTCGGGCGGGGCCGACTATATGATACCCTACGCGACTGTGCGTATTTAGTAGAGTTCCCATAACAAAAGAATTTATTTGAAGTAGATCATACCACCTATCAATTTTTGGCTTAAGAGCAGTTCTAGTTTGATTTCAGAGGGAACTAATATATGGGAGGCATATCCAATTCTGAATCGATTGTCACTAAATTTGACGCAGACATTTTAATCTTTTATACCAAATAACATTGCTATGATATCACTTCGAGAAGGATTATATTAAAATAAATATATATCGGAGCCGAGTTTGCAAAATAGAAACGTACGTCCGAAATTTACTCCATTTGGATTGATATTAGCCATTATTTACACAATAAACCTGAAATCGGATTAAGGATATATATGGGAGCTATATCCACATGCTAGCCTTCCTCGATAATATTTGGTAAAGGTAGGTATTTCTGAGCTCTATAAGATATCTTGTACTGAATATCATTGTTGTCGAATGCATATTACGAATGTGAGGGACTTAAAAATCAAATCGGATGAAACATATATATGGGAGCTATAGCTATATCTGAACCGATTTTCACCAAATTTAATGTACTTGCTTCCAGGCTGAATTCGGTCGGATGTGCCAAAATTCAGGTAATTTGGACTGATAGTGGCTATTTGGTACACAATTAACCCGAAATCGATAGAAGATGTATGTGGGAGCTATATCCAAATCTGAACCGATATTGACAAAATTTGATACATTTATTTCAGAGCTGTATCTGATGTCCGGTACCAAAGATCATTGTTGTGGAGCGCATATTACGCGTGTGAGGGACTTAAACTCAAAATCGGATAAAACATATATATGGGAGCTATAGCTATATCTGAAGCGATTTACACCAAATTTGAAGTACTTGCTTCTAGACGGAATTCGGTTGGATGTGCCAAAATTCAGATCATTTGGACTGATATTGGCTATTTGGTGTACAATTAACCCGAAATCGGTTGAAGATATATATGGGAGCTATATCCAAATCTGAACCGATATTGACAAAATTTAATACACTTATTTCAGAGCTGTATCTGATGCCCGGTACCAAATATCATTCTTGTGGAATGCATATTGCGCATGTGAGGCACTTAAACCCATAAATCGGATGAAACATATATATGGGAGCTATAGCTCTATGTGAACCGATTTTCACCAAATTTGATTTACTTGCTTCTAGGCTGAATTCAGTCGGATGTGCCAAAATTTAGGTCATTTGGACTTATATTGTTCATTTGGCGCACAATTAACCCGAAATCGGTTGAAGGTATATATGGGTGTTATATACAAATCTGATCCGATTATCTCCAATTTCAATAGGATTCGTCCTTGGGCCAAACAAATATTGTTTGGAAAATTTCATCTCAATCGGATAATAAATGCGACCTGTATATTGTTCACAAGAATACATGGACAGACGGACGGACATGCATAAATCGACTCAGAAAGTGATTCTATGAAGATCCTCAAAAGTATCTATGGGTCTATCTCGCTCCCTTCTCCCTGTTACAAACAAATGCACAATGACATAATACCCTTACCACTATATGCTGTAGGGTATAACCAATTGCGTTCCTTCCATTGATCTAGCCTATCCAAATACAAGTATTTGGATTTACCCATATTTTCCAATCGTAAACATTTCTTAATATTGATGAAAATTCTATGCGGTTTTATTAGTTCGTGAGATTCTAGACTTTATTCATTTTTAATTCAAATTCCAAGAACATTTCTCCCCCTTTTCAGTTACTTGACGTCATTGGTGACATGTGATATTGAAATTTATGCTGACTCTGATGCATTCTCAGTATTTTTGTTTTCAAATTGAAAAAAATATTGTTTATCTTTTACAAAACTGTTCTGGACACATTAAACTATTTACTAAGCACTTTTGTTGTCGATAATTTCGACAACAGCGTAACTTAATTACACAACAGCAGAAGTTCACTTTGAAAATGCAAACTCACTTTTCGCAACCCATTTTTTTTGAGACGTCCGGGCACAACAAAGATCAAGTGTCAACTAAATAACAACAATGTAAACTACAGAATGATGAGACATCTCAGCCAAAGGGTGATGATAGGTGGAGGAGATGCTATTCCACCGAATCGTAATTAAAGTCAGTGTCATTAGCAAATGGACATAATTATGGCATACATTGGTATGGGTGTTATGCCATTTCTTTTCGAAAAAAGCACACCAGTTACGCTTCATGAAAGATTCGAGTTGACCAAAATTATCTGTTGGGGGTCGTTATGGTTTGTTGTTATTATCTTGAATTGCTGCTGTCATTGTCATTTGTCATAATCCGTGGACGTGATGCTTGGTCAAAGGTAAACATGTGTGTTTTGCAGATACACAGAAGGTGCAATAACTAATTTAATTAAAATTACAAATTTTTCAATTATTCAATACTAATAAAACTACCCATCCAGCCATCCGAGGCCTATCATAATTTGTGTACATGGCGTTCATCAAAAAATTCCGCAATTAATTGCCCACCTTTGTCGTTATAACCGGGATGGTTCGGTTGTCATGTTGACACACATTTGCCAATACCTACTATTGTCAAATTGTGAATGCTTCTTAATACCATCAATGGGAGAGAATACGTGTTTATAGAGCATTTTCTATGTCTCAAGCTTTGACATATTTGCTTGACATGAGGTAAGGGTGGTATGTGAAAATATGTCTTAAATATATTTATGGTATTTTACTCAGCTTTTGAGATACCAAAATAATACTTCATGACTAAATAAGACAAATATTGAAGAATTAAAAAAAAATTAACCACTGGTTTTGATAGAATAATTCAGAAAACAAAAAAATTATCAAAGGTTTTTTTAGAATAAATTTCAGTGGATAGCATTACTCTTAACTTTGGATAAGATTCTCCAGTAGTGGAATGCTTTAATTTATTTTTTTAGTTACCGACAAAAAAATGCTTATAATTTAGGTAATTAACGAAATTTATCGGTAAATTTGCGACGAAATCAAATTAGTACCTAAGACCTACTGATATATACCATTGCTGTCAATCTTAGCTTATTATACCATCCACCATACATAGTATGGAGGGTATATTAAATTCGTCGATCCGTTTGTAATTCATCAAAATAATAATTTTAGACCCAACAAAGTATATATATTCTTGATCAGCGTAAAATTCTAAGACGATTTAGCCCCCTTCGTCCGTCCGTCTATAATTTGGTTGTAATCACGCTGGAGTCAAAACCAATAAAGATAGGAAGCTAACATTTTGCACAGATCTGTCTTTTGTCTGCAGGCAGGTCAAGTTCAAAAATGGGCTATATCGGTCCACGATATCGTATGGCCCCCATATAACTCTACCTCCCTATATTCGGCATTTTGATAATTTTTACCACATTTTTCAATGGAATTCTCTGAAAATCCACACAAGGAGTTTCCTCTGAGAACTTTACCCCTTGGAAGTGAATTGTTTATATAGGTCCACGATATCGTATAGCCCCCATATAAATGTACCTCCCGACATTCGGTATTTTGATGACTTTAGCCACATTTTCAAACGGAATTGTCTGAAATTCTACAAATGGAGTTCTTCGTGACAACTTTGCTTCCTGAAAAAGAACTGTCTATATAGGTCCACGATATCGTCTATCCCCCATATAACGGTACCCCCCGATATTCGGTATTTTGATGATTTTAGCCACATTTTCCATTGGAATTGTCTGAAATTCTACAAAAGGTGTTCTCCGTGACTAATTTGCTCCCTGAAGAAGAATTGTCTATATAGGTTCACGATATCGTCTATCCCCCATATAATTGTACCTCCCAGCATTCGATATTTTGATGATTTAAGCCACATTTTTTAACGGAAATGCCTGAAATTCTACCAAAAGGAGTTCTTTGTGAGTACTTTACCCCCGCAAAGACAATTATCTATATAGGTCCATGATATCGTCAATCCCCCATATAACGGTACCCCCCGATATTCGGTATTTTGATGATTTTAGCCACATTTTCCAATGGAATTGTCTGAAATTCTACAAAAGGTGTTCTTCCTGACTACTTTGCTCCCTGAAAAAGAATAGTCTATATAGGTCCACGATATCATATAGCCCCCATATAACTGCACCTCCCGACATTCGGTATTTTGATGATTTTAGCCACATTTTTTAATGGAATTGTCTGAAATTCTATAAAAGGAGTTCTCTGTGAGTACTCTACCTACTGGAAGAGAATTATCTATATAGGTCTACGTTTTTGTATTACACCCATATAACGCTACCCCAAGATATTCGGTATTTCCGGGATTTTCGCTACATTATTCACCGGAATTGCGTCAAATTTCGTATTTGAAGTTCGTAATGGATACTACAGCCAATGACAGA